GGTTATATAGATATCAAGAATGTAATTTATGCAGCATGTAGATCATATATTGAATTAACTCCGCTTTAGCCGACCCCCTTATTTGGGACGGTCTCCCTGTTGTTCTCTGATTGGCCATTTCCTTTTTAGAGGTTTGTATTACCCGCACAAATAAGTGAATGCCGCGTAATACAATAAAGTCGCGTAAAAGGTGGACAATTTACAATTCTTACTTGTCTTTAACACTAAAATGTCTGTTAGTTTATATATTATTAAAAAATGGAATACCGAAAATTAATAGAATTCTTGAGAAATCAAGAATTAAACCTTGATGACGAAGATTTTTCGTGTTTGAGAAGTCAAAAAATTTCCGGTCCGAACTTTCTTCTATTAAAAAGAATAGATTTAATCGACTGTAAATTAAAGGTGGGACCTATTGTAACACTTTTAAATTTAATCACCGAAATTAATACTGGTATGTATAGTATATGGATTTGGTATATAGTTAGTTTATTGTATAACTTATTTAATTTCTTTTTTATAGGGAAATTATCAAATGAAAAACTTATTCCTGTTTTTAATGACGTAAAAAATTCAAAGTGGCTATACTCCAGATATTTCTATACTTTTCCTTTCAACGTATGGTCACTTGAACATTTTGAAGATTGGATTCTAAATAATTACACAACTTCAAAAAAAGAGGTTTACAATCAGTGTTTTTTTAAAATAATTCGAAAAATAAAAGAAGATTCTAAAACTTTAGAAGAGATAAGAGAATTCGTATCAAAATTAGACAAAAAGGTAAGATATTGATTTAAATTTTTTTTTTTACATCTGTTATTATGAATTGTCGGTCGTCTTGTGCAATGGCCTTTTTGGTGTGAGCAATATTCTATCTATCCTAGTGAGAATCGGTTCTCATTGTGTAAGTGATAGCATTAATAATATATAGGTTTGGATGAGGCTACTCCTTGCCTATCCCGTGAGGATCGGTTCTCACATTAGTAGGGATAGCACAGAGGAAGGTACGTACGTCCTTGAAAGTTAGCCGAATTAGTACATTTTTACTGGCTATGTCCAGTAGTATGTGTCTGATCATCCTTACTTTATTGGAAATTTTTATGACATTAATTTTGTATATAAATCAAGTAACCTCAAAAACCGTTTCCCAAGAAAACGATCAAAATCATGTGACTGAAATTCCTAGTGAGAAAACTTTACTAGAACAAAGGTAAGCACTACATTCATTAACTCTGTCCCATTGTCTCATACCTATAATTCGGAAGTTGAGATAAGTGAGGATGTCAAATCTTTACCAGAAACTGTAAATGTTTTCGATGAGAATAATGAAAATGATGATGAATTTTCTGATGATAACGATGATAGAGAATATTGCGATTTTTCTGATGATGAGGATGCTGGTTATTATTATGATTTAAGTAGCGGAAGGAAAGCGTATAAAAATTCAGGTCATTTAATTAGCGCATAATAATAATTATTCGTGTAAATGGGAAGAAATTAGTTATTGCGAAAAAACACACCATCTGAAATGCTAGAAGGTTTATCAAAATTCAATCCAAATAGTAAGTGTGAAAGCGTAGATTAATAAGTAAAGCCCATTCACACAATCACGTAAAAATAAAAAATGGCGAGGCCAAGAGACCCCCTTCTTTATTTAATAAAATTTTTTTGGCTAGAACGACCATATACAAATAAAAAATTTTTATCATATCATAAAAAAAAATGATATATGGGTGTGCGATTATAGATAATCATCGGCATGACCAGGATTTATAACATCCCAGTCATCATTTTTTTTATATCTTTCTACAGCTTCTCTCGAAATAGGATAGAAGGGGTCGTTGTCTGGTTTTAATGCAATGAAAGATTTAATCAGAAAATTATATTTCAGAGAAATACCCAGAGCTGCTGGGTTAGGCGGTGTTGGATTAGGTGGTGTTGGATTGTTAGTACTGCTCATTTTTGCGTTCCTAAAAATAATGAGTAAGATTTCGCTCCCATAGTCATTCTAGAAAATAATTGTCGGTCGAAACCCTCCGTGTAAAACAAATACATACGTTAGAAATAAATTGCGGGTGTGTAAGACTTTTACGATAAAAAAAAATAAGTGAGCAAAAAAACGTTATTGCTAGCTTATCTTACGGGCGGAAACATGCTTATTTTTATACTTCACACTCGTTAGATCTAGAGAACCTCCAGAAGAAAAATTACAAGCTTAGTAATTACATTACTCCTACGCAATGCCAGATCACACTTAACAAAGCAACCCCGTTTCGGTTATAAGGTCCAAATGCTGAATCTATTTTGCCATTTTTATAAGGTAAGAAAGGCTCTTGTCGCATTATTAGCGCTACTTGTTAGCTTAATAAAAAATCGACCGTGAGAAATAATTCTGCAGGAAGGTGGCACAAAATACGTACTTTTAAAATTGACATTATAGACACGGTCACGCAAAAATATCCAGGTTACATATATACTTCATGAGACCGATAAATCGTGTGATATCGCGACTTAATGAATATATCGATGCTGTACTTTTTTCAATAAATTTTCATTAGTTCGAATTTTGATATGTACGTGCATTACGGCGAATTTATGAAATACCCCAAAATTTGAAAGTTTTGACCACTAAGTAAACAATAATGATTTTTGACTGAAATAACTACTATCCCCAAGTGAAGGTGCGTCATTATAATAAATTTCTATGTCTAATAAGGTGGGGAAGATGAGTTAGCACGTGGGGAAGATGGGTTAGACGCATTATCAATCAAGATCAGAGGTCCAAAAAACTTTTTCGAGGTTTAACATTGATTTATTTATGCCATTTGGTAACTAAAATTGAAAATTGGGGACCAAATACTCAGATTTGGTGACCGAATTTTAGCTTAATTTCATAAATTCGCCATAATGTGTTTATGTTAAAATAGTGCACATTTATCGTTATTCACAGCCAAATATGTTACCGAACATCCACGACTCCGCCAGGAGTCTAGACAGGACCGGGAAAACTCTATAATAGGTCCCCGCCCTAAAAAAATTTAATTATATTCTCTGCGAATCAGGAGTTTTTTATAATTAAGCAAATCAGTTTTACAAGCACCTTTAAGAAACTAATAATAATGTGAATCACTATTGGTCAAGCACCTTAAGAACGTATGATCTATATAATTTGTGCATATTTCAAACATCGATTTTAAGCCTGTTTACATCAAAATGCAACTTACAACTAATTTTAGATATAGATATGGTTACAAAAAAGAACCTGAAATTTTTTTTCATATTTAATAACCCAAATTATTCTTTGATTTGGTTTAATAATTTTGATGCATTCATTTATTATAAAACAAAATTATTAAAAACAGATACCATTTAAGAAATATTGGCATTATATTAACAAAACAATTGCTTATTTTTACTAACTTATAATTTTGATTTTAATTTTGATGTTTGGTATCATTCAATGGTTATATATTAAAATTTGTAAATTTTTTTAATTTTTAATTTTTTTTTGGTTTTAAGGTGACCTCTTGGTCATGCTGTGCTTTTATTGTTTTCAGATATCATTATACATATTTGGAGAGTACATTTAGTCATACCTGTGCCTTTTGAGCGCCTATTTAAGTAGTCTGCCTATTACTAAATTTTACACTATTTTCTGTACCTACAACCCAACTAGGGGGTTACCCATTTAAACTCTTTGCGTCTATATACTTCGAGGCCTACGACAACCAGCATCTTTCTTCCAGTTTTAAGAACCAGTCTTACAGGTATATCATTTCACATGCTGACTTAGAACTACTTTATCCTCAAGGTAAACCTGGCAGAGCCCGCAGTATTCCCACTTTATACCACACCTAGCCTGCACAAAATTTTTTAATTTATGCTAAACTTTCAATAAATTATTTATATAAAATATGAATTTATAGTACTGAAAGATTTATTAATATAATTATAATAAGTTTATCAATAAAATATATTGTATATTCTATCAAATATTTTATAAACTATTTAAAATTTTTTAAAAAAAAATTATACAAAGAAGGCAATTTAAATAATTATAAATCGAAATAGTTTTATCATCTACTAAAATTAAATTGTTATCAAAATTAGTATATGAATATATACAAAAAATAATTTACTTTATGTGAAGTAATATGAATTGTAATATTTTCTTCTACTGAATTTTCATATGAGAAGATATAATTTGTTACTTGCATATAAACTTCAATAAAAATATATGATAAATCATCTAAAAAGCTAACTGGTTTTTCAACTCATACATGTTATTTTTTATATTTTTATATATTGCGATAACTTTTTTCAAACATAAAATTTTATTAGAATAGACTATTAAAAAGCTATTTTTACACAAAGAATTAAGATCAAAGATATTTGCTAAACCAAGATTTTCTACTAAAAATTTAAATAAATATTAATAAAATATATATATTTTATAATTATAATTTAAGATAAAAAAATTACTATGTTTATTTTTAAACAACACTTCTAATCTTTTTTTTTCTTCCTATTGATCTTGACATTTTTTTCTTTGATTTTCATTAATATTGTCTAATGTTATCTCAATAATAAGTTTATTAACAATATTTTTATTAATTTTATTATAATTTTTGTCTATTGTAGTTTGATATAAATAACTAAAGTTAGATTTTATATATAGTGAAAATATATTATGATTTTGACAAATTTATAAAAGAATTTTAAAATCTAAAGCATCATTTGTAAAAAATTGTTGAAATAAATGAAAAAGTATAAGAATAAGAGAATGTTGAATAATATATTAAATTTCAGAAAATTTGGTAAATAATGATATTTATTGTATCATATCTTTGTCTTCATCTAAAATTTTATTATTAAAATTTTCATTATCATTTAAAGTTTTATCTTCATGTAATTGATTATTATCTGATAAATTTGGTAATAAATATACTACTTCTAAGGCTGTATTTTCAACTACAATTAAATAACTTGAGCTAGTTTTATTATTGAAAGTATCAATAAATTCTATATAAAAAGTAAATGATTAATTATAATAAATAATTACATATCTATAATACAAACAAATTATATTTACATATCATTTAATTTATTATTTCTATTATTTGCATATTAGCTATTTGTTCTATATATTTAGTAAATTTCAAAATTAAAAATTCTTTTTTATAATTATATATATAAATATATTTTGCTAATAATATAGCTTCATTAAATGCAATTTTAGTATATTCTTGTAAATCCTCAATAGTAGGCTATATGCGAAGTTTTTTAATTATTTTATATAAAGTGATATATTATCGATACCAAAAATATAATCTAAAAATATCATTAATTATATATTATTATTAAATCTCTTAAAACTAATTCTATCAAAATTAATAACCTATCAAATCTAATAAATAATAAAACTAATATACTGTAAAACTATTCATTATATATATTAGTTTAAAAAGTTTTATAATATTAAATATCTGCTGCAGAATTTCACTCTTTGCTAGTATCAATTATTCCTATACATAAAATTTTATTATGAAATGATACCCTTTGTTATATTTTAAAAAATTCATAAAATATTCAAGAAAAGTGACAACTTTTACTAACAATTACTTGGACCAACTAGTACTGAAAGCAAGTTGAAAACTCAATGCCAGAAGTTAATAACAACTTGAAGTTTTCTCGATACGAACTGTTGTTGACAAAGTCTTTAAATGTGATATACTAAAGAGTGGGTGTTTTGAACAGTTTGCAAAGGAGTCAAGCCCTGTCTCTGCTTTCTCTTAGATGAACTCTCTTTTGCGTTTGGCATCCAAACTAGAGGAGTCTCTGGAAACAGCAAGTAAAAAAGAAAACTCAAGAAGTTTGGAGATGGAAAGATATGACGAACTCATGAAAAAACTCTCTTTAGTTAGAAATTTGCAAAACCTAAACCTCCCTTATAGGGCTAGTGAAAATCTGCAATTGCAAAATCTGCGCATAAATCCGATTTTTATTACATAGTATATGCGATTGCAAATTTCACATATCAGGATGATTTTCGCATAATTAATAGTGCATAATCTGCTTATAAAATGGCTGGTATTAAAATTATAAGAATATCAGAATATCTCGGATAGTAGACAGTCAATGAACACAAAATATAAGCTTGAGGTAGGAACGTTCCAAATAAGGAAATGATGATCCTGATCATGCATAATAGTTTAGCCAATTAAAATCACAAATTTTTATCATATGAAATATATCACATGTTGATTAGCCAATCAAATTGTAAATTCTTATGAAATAAAAAAAAAAGAAAATTTAATTAAAATTTATAGCTAAAGAGCTAAAGTTCAAAATAAATGC